GATTGAGAGGCCACAGCCACGCTGTGCTCTGTGTGTTACAGTGTGGGAGGGAGGGCTAGATGGAAAGAGAAAATCCAGAAAGAAGGCAAGCCTTTTTGACAGATGAAAGCCCTCTGAAAATTGGTAACTCTGGTGTCATTAAAGAAAGTGTTGCCCTTTTTAAGAGCGATTCAGCAGTGTCCTCTAATAGGAGACAGACCTCGTGTTCTGGTAGCCGTGTTTTTAGGTTACTTTTAAATGTAAATGTAATTCAACTTGAAAGTAACAAAGATGTCATGCATGCAAGCCCCAGTTATATGAGAACAGAACAAGCAATTTATTAAAAAATTATGGATGTTTAACATTATTCAGTAAAGATGTTAACAACACTGTAGCCTCACTATGAATTAAATGAAAAAAAAAAAATAAAAAAAAAAAAACGAGAGTGAGGCTGTCAATGTTTATACAGGTGATGGAGGTCACATTAAATTTCATTGTTTTTCAGAAAGGTGGTGCTATCATCACTGTCACTCTTTTTCAGGCAATGTGGTATTGTCCTCGTATTTAAATAAGTAAATTATGTTACAAAAAGATACACAAACCACACACTTCTTGGTGAAAATCTTTAGTAATGGACTCCAAAGCATTTTATCACTGGTACTATAAAGGCATTATAGCTGCCCTTTTATTAAACCCAGTTAGATTGAGATTCAGTATGTTTTTGTCATAGTTATTTTTTATGTATTTATTTATTTTTCCCTTATCTAAGATGTCACAGATGGCACAGTAATAGGAAAGTCATGTTAAATCTTGTACCTTTTAGTCAACAATTAGTACTTTAACCTTTTCAGATTATCTCTGCCAAACCAAAGACATTTTAATAAGTTAATTTTCTTTCTTTCCCATCGACATCCATGGTGTTACTGAGGACTCAAAAAAGCAGAAAACAACATATTTTATTGCTTGAGGTAAAAGTAAGGAGTAATGCAGCAGGTGGTTATAAAGGGATACATTTGGATAAATCTGGAATATAAAAATGTGACCACATAAAGTTAGTCTCAGCATCTAATCTGCTACTTTTTGTCTTTCGGTAAACATTTATAGCATGGTTGATGAAACTCACAGTACACAAAAGTGCTTTGGCCCCCTAAAAAATCCTAACCATTTGAGAACACTTTCTTATATCTTTGATAAAGTCAAAAATGACACATCAGGCAGTCTCTTCCAGCCATCTAAACTGAATGTGAAATGACTCTACAGACCTTGTCAAGTGAGATCCTGACCCATGTCTTTAATATCACTGTATATGCCAGTAGTGAAATTTTGACACATATGCCCATGGGCCAAATCACTGAATGTAGGCTTGTCCAGCCAGTGTCCCTTCCTTGTTGCCTTGGGCCTTGGGATGCCAGAGCTGAAAGTTTTCTCCACTGTTTAGGGCTGGGCTAAATGCACAGCACACAGTCAATACACCCATCCTTCATGTGACGCTAACTGACAAGGTGACACTTTAATGGCATGACTGAAAGTTCCCCTTGGCTCTTTAGTTTTTGAATGATGATGAGTGACATTCTGGCACAATTTCATCATCTTGCACCTGAGGTGTGGCGCATTGTGAATTCTTGTGATGTCTTACAAAGGAACCGTTGCATGTAAAGGTGTAAAGTTACTGAAAAGAATTAGCAAAATTAGGTATTAAGCAAATACGATGAGAAAAAAATTATAAAATTCAAACAGATAAAACAATAGCAACAAAAAATTACAAACACCATCTAGTACCGCTGGTAGGACTGTAAACAAAGTTGATACCATCAAACCTGAAACTTCTGACAAAACCATTCAAAGTGTTATAATTCCCTTTGTGACATTCTCCTGAAAAGGTCTAGGGCAGCGGTCCCCAACCTTTTTTGCGCCACGGACCGGTTTATTCTCGACAATATTTTCATGGACCGGCCTTTAAGGTGTCGCGGATAAATACAACAAAATAAAATTAGTACCGGTACCGAAAAAAAGAAAATTTACTCATAACACATGTGAAAAGACCCAGGAAAACAGAGTAAACGATAAAAACGATAACAAAATAACGCTCAAAACCGATAAAACCCCTGAAAACTATACATTTCACACCTGAGCCTCAACTCTTGCGGCCCGGTACCAAACGACTCACTGACCGGTACCGGTCCGAGGTCCGGGGGTTGGGGACCACTGGTCTAGGGGGTGAGAGAAAGTAACAAAAGGTCTCCATGTTGAAAATAAGGAGACAGGGACGTAAAATTGTTAAGTTAAAGGGTTTTATTAATGTTTCTATTAATGACTAAACTAAAAGAGACTGATAAGCGACTATCATCGTTTAAAGAAAGAAAACAACAAAACTCAGGGGTTGGTCAATAAACTGATACGTAAGTCAAAAAGGGTTAGTCACCAAAACACGCTCCTCTCCACATAGCAGTAGCAATCAACCACCCTACACACACAGCTTACTATCTGCAACCCAGCAACACTCTCTTTCTCTGGTCTTAAGTATTCTTAATTGCTGATGGGAGTCAGCTGCACAAAAAAAGTAGCACCTAAGCCAGGAGAGATGGCAGGACACACCCACACAAGGTCAGATTCACAGGGAGCCCTGCTAGTGCCGTAACACCCTGAGTCTGAGATAGCGTAATAGATGCAAAGAACATCAGTGCTGCTGCTATGGAAGGAGTCTGTGGATTATGTAAGGAGGTGGTTGTGCATAGATCACAGCAGGTCATTTATATCCCTGTTGGTATTTATTTGGCTTTGCACCTTTTAAATGCATGTGTTATTTCCAGTTCTTGGTGTATCGGTTCATACATTTGGTCTCTGTGCTTAAATGGAGTCCAGTTGTGTGTAGCTGGGGAATGGGTTACTGTTTCTACGTTATTTTAATGTCTTGAATCAAACCATTACAGCAAGAAGGTTAAACAGATGGAAGTGCTAAATCATCTGTGGAAATTTAGGGCGCATATTAATTTCCTTCAGGACTCTCATGTGAAAGTTCCACTGTGATATAGTAAAACGAAATGGGTCATGTATGCTTTAGGGGAGGTCTAGAGGGATTTTAGTGACAATAAATGAATCACTTACTATACTGCTGACCCTAATGTACACAATGGGGCAGCAGCTTTGAAATATGTCTGTAATTCCAAGCCTCTGCGGATTTGTCTGATAAAATTATCTGTTTAATTATATTTAGGCCATATGTACAATAGCCTCATGCATATTTCTGGCCCATTATTAAATTTAAGTGCATAAATGGTTTATCCATTACATACACAAATCTAGTACCAAATTTAATATGATGAACATCAACCATTAACCTCCTAAGACCCGAACTCTTCCACGGCATGCATTTTTAATTTCTCTTTGATATTTGAGCATATTGGGGCCCGATGAATGTAAAAACAAAGAATTACCAGATTTTTTTTTTACCTTATTTTTGTTTTTAAGAAAAATAAGAGGATGAGGATATTTAAATTTTGATAGAACAGTAGCAGTATAATGTCCTCGTAAGTGGATATCAGGCCCATGTAGAGCAAAATTTTGTATTTTGGTCTAAATAACCCAAAATGTGATGTCCACATATGTGGATGCCAAATCCGAGGAGGTTAATGAATGAAGCAAAGTTTTGATAATAATGCAATAATTAGCACTACTCTGACAAGGTTGTTAGGATGAAGAGTGATTCTCAAAGAAAAAAACTCCAAAATGATTATGTTGAAAAATCACAAAATAAAAGGAAACATGCCCTGTAGTGTAAAAAACACTAAACACTAGAAAAAAAAATCTAAATACACTAAAAACCAGAATATGTTAACCATTATAACCTGTTTGGTTTAGATTACATTTTGCTGACAATTATGCATAAGGTTTATTGCCAATGTTAAAACTGTGGAAAACAAAAATGGAATTAAAATAAATAATAGGCCAACATATTTTTTGACTGCATCACTTGTCACTTTTTAGTGATCTGCATAAAATTGCTGGCAGTCAGTAAAGATATGAACAAAAATCATCAGTGGAAGAAACAACTTTCATTGGTATGTATTTAGTTTAGCTAACCAGGTAGCCTATCTTGTAATTTCACTCCATGGCTGAAGAGGTGATAGTGAGTATTTCTAGAGTGAAGTCTGGCCTCAGTCAAATATAATGGGAAGAAAAAACTTTGTGTCACTCAAAGCACTTTTTAGTTGTTTACTTTATGTTAATTGGCTGTTTGGCTAGATTTAAAGTGATAATGCGGCTAAGTGTTTTACATGAAGCACTTAACATGGCCACTATAACAAATAATAATTCAACACCAAATTTAAATCAACCAGTGTGATTTTCTTTGGTAGGATAGTTTCAAATGATAAGACTATTTCATAAACTGCCTAAGACTGCATTGCAGCCCTATTTATATTTCCATATTCACAAAAGTAAAAGAAAATAACCCATCAACATGAATCAGCAGATTAAATATTGTAATTGTAAATATTTCACAAACCGCTGTAGGCAATCATCGTACATTTAAGTCAGTGTGTAGTTAGCACTACTTTTGTTACACTTTTGCACACAATGTATCCAGCTCATCTCATGGCAGCATATGCAGAGTAAAGGCTCCTCTTTGAGCCTCACTTTTGTTGTGATGTAGGCTTGCTCAAGTTATTTTGTCAGTGTCATTTTGCTCTCTCTGTGCTTCCAGCTCAATGTAATTTTTTTCCTCCCTTCAGATCTGGTCTGCTACTAGTGATTGAACTGCAAGTCTTCCGGCTGTCTGGGAAGTGGTGCCTCTGCTTTCAAGCACTTGTACCGTGCACCCTGGAAGCGGCTTCTTCAAAAATCCGGGAAACCTCTCGCAGGTGGAGCTACTGTGTTATTATGTTGAAACTATTTCTGCAATATGTGTGTGTGTGTGTGTGTGTATATATATATATATATATATATATATATATATATATATATATACACATATATATATATATATATATGTATATGTTTGTGACCCGTGGTAGGTACCTATTTAAAATAGGACAGAGCCGTAGGCGCACAGTCAGTTTAAAAGAGTTTAATTTTTAATACAAAATAAAAGAAACAGTGTAACAGCAGCACCTAAAAACAATTAAAAACGTTACCTTATTAAAAAAACGATAAGACTGTACGATTGCCCGTGAGGCAGGACAAGCGCTGCGGAGAACAGTTTAAAAACAAATCGACATAGCACACAGGTTAAAAATGGACGGCAACTCACACATGACCCCAAATGGGTAAAACACTATAGAAAAAAAAGGCAAATCTTCGGTGCCGTCTTCACTCGGGCCCCCCGCTGTGCATGCAAGAGCGGGGAGACAAAAAAGGATTTGTTTTCCCTGCAGCGCCTTCACCGCCTGCGAATCAATATCTGTGGTGCCTACTGATACAGAAAAAGTAAAACAAAAAACCAAAACCATCGACAGCCGCAGCAGTCAGTCTGTCGGCTTACACCAGTTTAAAACAAATTAAAACACACTGATGTGTCGGGTCCTTTGCCCGCAGCCAGAAATCCACCTGGCAAAGCAGCAGCTCGGTACTCTGTGAATAAAAGGCAGGAGATCACTAGCTGGACAATAAAACACAGGAATATTCCTCCACTGAATTTGTTTTGTTACCTGTCCACAAGTTCGTGTCACACCCTAATAAATGTGGGTCAGTGGCAATGAAGTCCACTATACCGTTCTCACGGGAGCAATGTTTCCCACCTACAAGGGTGCAAATAACTGTAAACCTCTGCCAACAGCCAGAGCTCAAGTGGTACATTTTTGTGTAACCTACCGTTCTAACAGAAGTTTAGGGGAGGACGCGTATCAGACTTTCATAGTTAAGAAACACCAACTTGCCCAACTCGGACCAAGCACTCCGCAGCTTCAGGTTTGCAAAGGAATACCCAATTGCCCACACCTGCGCTTATGAAAGGAGCGAAGACCAGCTCCGCCCACCAGGGGCGGTCCCAAATCTCCAGGTCTCACCTGTCACATTCATATATATATTAGGGGTGCAACGATACACAAAATTCACGGTTCGGTTCGGTTCGATACTTTGGTGTCACGGTTCGATATTTTTTCGATACAAAAAAATGTTCATGCCTTTTTAATTTGTCATTTATTAAAATTATAAATATATATTTTAACTCAAAAGTACAGTTTTTAAATTTAACCCTAACCCTTGTGCGTGTTTTTTATTTTGACAGCGACTGCGCACCTGCGGACCACTTATGTGCAGCCCTGGTTATTTAGCTCGTCATATTGCAGTCACAGAAATTCTTTTGTCCATGAAACCATAAAGCTGCACTTTCTTTTTGCCTTATAGTCTGATTTGTCATAACTTCTCCGTTTTGTGGTAAGCTTTTCTTTGGCTGTCACTTCTTCACCCTGACCTGTCTTATTTGGCTCAGCAGAACTGAAATGCTTTTACACACGCACTCACATAAGCTCAGCGATTCTCTGCGCGATCAACCTCTCACATGTTTAAGCTTGCTGCGGGAGATTTCACTTGTCATGTTTGCATAGTAAGCTAACGATTAATAAGACGATGTCAGAGGAATTGGTGCACAAATTATCATCACTCACAGATCAGTGCTGTCGCTCTCTATACGCAGTTCGCACGATTGCAAAGTGAAAGCAAAAAAACAAGCGCAAATTCAAACGCGACTTCAATATGTCACATATTGACAGTGGCTCACCGATGCCAATGACATAATTACCCAGCTACATTTCTGAAAGAATGCAAAAGCATTGACATATATTTTTCCTACAATAGCCCGACGGGCAGGGCAGAGATAGATTTTGGTAGCCCGACTGAAAAAATCGCTAGCTCCAGGACGTCGGGCTAGCGATATTGCAAGCCCTGTATCTGATTGAGGAATCACTCATCTTTGGAAAAGAGAGTTTATTACAGAGAAATGTCTCTTTCCAAAATAAAAGCTATACTATCCGCTTCTTCTGGGCTATATTCTCAACAGCATAAGGAGAATCATGTGCTAACAGCTGTCTAAATGACTCGGCTAAAGTTAGTAGCATGCTTGTTGTTTTTGTCTTTGCACTAGGATGATGTCGGCGTAAATGTGCAGTCATATTCGTTGTGTTCCCACTAGTGCTTTCAGGTTAATCTCGTTGAAATGACCTTAACGCCACAACACGGCAAATCTCCGTTAACGAGCTACCGCCGATCGCTCCGTGCATGGGGCTAGACGGCCAACACGTTAACGAGCTAACTGCGCTAACACACTAGTTCACACCAATGTAATTGAGCATTGCATGACACATCCAACATACTGTTTTACTTTAGTCCATGACGCGCTTACCTTCAGGGTCATAGTCACATGAAAACCAAAATAATTCCAAACGCCAGATCTGAATGAGGTTCAATTTGCCTGTTGCAAGTAGAGCTTAACTTCTGTCTCGCTAGCTTGCCCTGCGCTCTTCCTTCTGACTATGCTGTCTGTGTTGAGCGCTCAGTGGATCTGCGCTCGACAGTGCAGCCTAGGCGGAGTAGTCGAACACAGATTCACTGAGCGCTCAACACAGACAGCATCGTCAGAAGGAAAATTGATAAAATAAATTACAAATGTTGTATTGTTCGATACATATGCGTACCGAACCGAAAGCACTGTATCGAACGGTTCAATATCGATACGAATATCGTTGCACCCCTAATATATATATATATATAAAATATCTGTTGACCAAGTTCTATGTCATCATGATGACAAATGGTCTCCATCAATTTTCAAATTGCCAATGCAAAGATTTGTTTCTGCGAGAACGTTTCCCTGAACTGCAGCGAGCACTGACTCCTGCAGTAGTTTGGTTTTGGTTGTTTCCATCGTTAAAGTGGTTCTCTGGTTTCTGTTCACCTTTACGTTCATTTCTTTGTTATTATTTTTTTCAGTTTTAATTTGTCTAAACTGTGCTGTGATTCTCATTAGAGGAATTGTGTTTATTAGTGTTTCTTGTTTTGAGTCGGGTAATTGCATTTGCACGATATGGGGCGATCGTGGCTCAAGAGTTGGGAGTTCGCCTTGTAATTGGAAGGTTGCCGGTTCGAGCCCCGACTCGGACAGTCTCGGTCGTTGTGTCCTTGGGCAAGACACTTCACCCGTTGCCTATGGGTGGTGGTCAGAGGGTCCGGTGGCGCCAGTGTCCGGCAGCCTCACCTCTGTCAGTCTGCCCCAGGGTGGCTGTGGCTACTGTGGCTACAATGTAGTTTGCCATCACCAGTGTGTTAATGGGTGGATGACTGAATGTGTAAAGCACTTTACTAGTCCCTAAGGACTAGTAAAGTGCTATACAAATACAGGCCATTTACTTATTTCACCCTTGCTACAGACCATGCACTCATACCATGTGTGTGTGAACACGTGCTAGCCAGGCCCCAAATCTTTTTCATTTTTGCAACTATATATTAACATTTATCTCTTTTTCTGGATGGCTGGTAGCCATGGGCTGGATCTCTTGGGCGTCACTTGGAGGGTGGGCATTGTGTCAGGAATCCTTTCTCCCATCTGTTGGTTAATGCTGGCACTGCAAAATCTTGGCTCCACTCTCTTTACCTCTTTCTCAAAGCAGGCAACTAGACCATGAAGGCAGGATATAATAGTAAATATAAATATGATAAATAAGACTCGTATGATCTTTTTCCAATCTTAAAGTGATCTTTTATAACTACCTGAGAGTGGAATCCCTTTACGTGACACTGTCCACGCAAGTTACAAACTAGCCTTCTTCACTCCTGCCACATTCTTTGTGCAGAAAGCAAAGTTAACTAATCCATAGCTCTTCTTTGCCACAGTGAGATACCAGAGATGTATTTTTTTTAATAGAAAGTGTCAGACTTTTTAAACTCCACGGTACAAGTATTACACCTTGGATCAATTGGTGGGACACAATGCGTCTGAATCCAATTACATGCATTTGCCTCAAAATCTGCAGCAATCTCACAGGAGGGAGTACTCTACTGTATCGGGTGCTTCAGACAAATCGATAAACACAAAACAGAAACAGCAGTGCAATTCCCCTTCCTATCCGGTGAACAGAACATTCCATTTAATAAATAAATGAGCAGTGTGCCAAATCATCTTTCATCTGGTACAAAAACACAGCCAGTAGTTCAGTGTCACAAATCAATAAACAATGTGTTTATTCAAAATGCTCTGTGCATGTCAGTTTTCATTGCAGTCAACATCCAGGAGAGTTTTTTGTGTGCGCATTTTTCTGTTTGTTTTTTTTATATTAAAACTTTGTCTGTCTCACTTGCTTCTACCTAAAGTCTTTTTATTAAGTGTAAATGTTTAGATGTAAGCTCTAATGCCACAAAAGTGAAATTCATCTTGCCATCTAACATCTCAAAAAACAGAAGTATTGTACAAATATAACCAATATTAAGTTTTGATGGAGAGATAACCTTTAAATTTGAAAAGTTCAAAATTGACTTTATTTTGAAAAAGCATTCTCAGATGGTTGGTTACAACGGGGAAGTTGTGAAAATAAGGCTAGGTTTTGTTAAATGTCAGTTAAATGTCATGAATGATCTCTCCGTTTCTGGCCTGTCTATATTTGCAGATCTTTTAGATTTGTGTTGAACAGTAACAGAGTACTTCTCGAATGGCCATGACCCTCAGGTAACAATGCCACTAATGGCTTCTTTTTGAGAAAAAAAAAAAACTGCAAGGTTATCCATTTTGAAAACATAAGACATGAGAGCTATTTCCAGAATCCCTTTCTTGATGAAAAGTGCCTGGATTGGTTTATTAACCACACCAAAACCTCAAGAGAGTGTACCTTTGTTAAATCTCCAGAACCAAGAGACCACTGATCCTTTGGGTCCTGAATCAAATGTTGAGTTTGATTAGAGGGTCACCTTCAGCTCAGTAGGTGATAACGGCTCATAAAGACTTCCTGTAACATGCCCCATTAATAGTCTTTTACCCTAATTAGGATAAACATGTCTGTCCTCATGGAATAGCATCCATTGAGTTTACTTAAAAAACAAAACAGTGGGCTTGCAAGATAATATTTATTGCTCTTCTTTCTTGTTCCTAAAAAATGTTCATTTTAAATGTAACATTAGAACATAACCTCAACATATGTGGAGCTACCTGTGAAATAAGACGAGCATGTCGTTTGTTTGATTTTTGTGTGCAACCTGAAAGACAGTCTACTTTAATTTTCTGACTAAAACAATAAACTCAAAGTAGCTGAGCAATGCAGTACAAGCTACAGTTCATATTAAATTAATGGATTCTTGTGGTAATGATGCATAGCTATTTTGGAGCTGTGTTTTGTTTTTGTCATTTATTTTTAACATCACTTTCCCTTTAATGCATCAAGTTCTCCTGATAAAACAGGTCATCTGTCATTAAGAGGCAGCTTCTAAAACAACATTTATGGTTGTTCCAAAAGGACTACAAAAATTCTAATAATGGAATGGAAATACTATCGCTCAAAAAGCCAATGCAGACCATTGGTATACCTCATACCAGTTACTATAATTGTGCTTGATGTTGCTCTGTTGCCTTCAAAACCTACAGAGTTGTGCAAAGAAATGGAGACAAGAGTACAATGAGAAGTCTTCCATCTCTTTTCTTTAGCACAGCATACAGTATTACTATTATTGTCATTGCTTCTTTGACAAGACAGTCATTATTAGTGATTTTACTAATCAATCTGTCACAAATTTTTTTTCTTTTGACTGTTGGAAAGACATTGGATCTGTTTTTGCTTTGAAAGGAGAAAAATATTTGAAACTACAAAGAGCATGTGCTGTTCGAGGAATCAGAAAAGAAAACAAAGCAAAATAAAATATCCATCCATCAAGGGCTGGAAAAGGGAAAAAAAATATCAGACAAAAATCATTGCGC